TCACAAGCCACACCCCCGCATCTATCATCTCGGATCTATACAGAATACGGAATCCGTCTGAATAATGCACACTTCTTTAGGAACTCGGAACCTTACCGAACCCATTCATTCCGAAGGTCGCGGGTTCCTCCCCACGACAGTTCAGTGCCTGACGAAAAATCTCAGCATAGGGGGCCCAGATTGAGTTGCCAAAATCCTGGTCTTTTGGGGGCATCCCAGGTAAGGAATTTTCCAAGTTCCTCATCTTCCTGTATTTTCTTTTCTCGCCTTTCCGGGGTAAGGGCCTAACCACGACAACATCTTTCCCAGGAGTCAACTTAGCGTACAACTCAACACACGCTTATCAAGGTGAGACGATCCACGTGCATTTATCTACATGGTGCGTGTGATCATGAATCAAGAATCTCAGAACAGCTTCCATACATCCTCTAACTCCTCGAATGCTCGAGATACTATTCAGTGCAGGAAGTAAATAAACGAAACTAGTATAAAGGATAATATATCAACGTTGGTATTGAGACCAGTACGGTACTGGGCGCCTCGTTCCGTGAGGACCCGTTTCGCGCTGCAAACGTCCCCTCATTCTTGGCCGTACCTTGACATACCATTCCCATGCCAACCTCATGAGCTCTCCATCAGCTTCGTAAGGAGTAGGCAACTCTGAATAGTTTTTACGTGCTGTCGGATGTCGAACATAAACCGCCGAGCATGTCACGAATGAGACTTCGAGATACGCGGGAACGAATAAGAAGGGAGCCGCATAGTCTGGTATTTTGAGCTGGAATCCTAGTGTATCATGATAGGCTGCTTGCTCCTCAGCCTCCTTTCTGCCTTCCAACTTCTGGCAGTATTTGCTCTCATGGACTTGTGCCTCTGTCTCCTCAATTTCTGTAGCAGCTACTTCGTCGACTGATTCATTTGATTCAGTAGCACTAGCTTCGAATTCTGAGTTTTCTGTTGGCTCTTGTTCTTCTGGTATGGTTTCTTCTACGGGTAGTTCAGATGTACGCATATGGGCATTTGGAGCTGATTGTTGTAAGAAAGAGATAGCTGTTGGTTCTACAGAGATCATATCTCCGGGTTCCAGCTTCTTTCCTGGGCTTTTACACTGGAGTCTCATTAGCATTCACAATCAATACAAGTGTTATAGACAAAACGCACCACTACACCGTTAAGTTTGACTTTTCCAGTGAGTACAAGATGCCGAGCCTGGTATACACTTGTCGACAGGCATGAACGAAAAACGATGGTGTCAAGGCGTCGTTCGACCTCGATAAACATTAAGCTGCCAACTGGCGCGCTTGCAAGTTCCTCGTCCTCTTCTTTTGCTTTTCTTTCTCGAGCAACTGCCTCTTTGGTTCGGTTCATCATTCTTAACGACTCGATATCGCGAATGCCGAGCCCCATAGGGCGTCTTGGCCTCACATCTGGAATGAACTCAGGAAGATAGTATCTTTTGAACTTTTTCTCCCCTATTTGATCGCCATGGTAGCCTCTGACGAGTCGCTTGGCCTTCCAACGTTGCTGAAAGAGTGTTAAGAATGTCCTTCGAAAAGATGTTTCGTCCGGTCCAGATAATGGTCCTAGAGATCTTGCCCATAAATGATACAGATTAACTGCTGCCCAACTCATCCTGGGCAGTGCCCGTGAGTTGCTGTAGATATTTTCATACCGCATTGGAGGGTCGAGACGCGGT